AGACATATAATGCCCTGTATACCCCATTAGAGTATAAAACAGATTAATTTCACTGTCTTCAAATCTTCATACATCCTCCTCTCTAGCCTCTGCAAACTAGTGATCTCACTATCTCCATATTTTGCCTTTTCCAAAATATGATACTGTTGGAATCACAGAGTATGTACCCTTTTCATATCTGTTTCCTGCATTTAATGATAAGCATTTAAGTTTCCCCACTTATTATGACTTTTTAGAGCAGAATAATATTCCATTGTGTCAATGGGTCTATCTTAGTGAATTTGTCCATTGACTGAGAGACATTTTGGTTGCTTCCCAGTTTTGGCAACAATGGCTAGAGCCACTAAAATCATCTGTGTAAAAGTTTTTGTGTGAACATAAGATTTCAACTCTATTGGATAAGTATCCAGTGTATAATTGCTGGATCACAGAGTAAGTTTAGCTTTGGTAGAAATTGCCTACCATCTTCAAAGTACCTGCGCTATTGTGCATCTTCACCAGCAATAAGTAGCAGATGATGCTGCGTGGTGCTGCATATCCTCAGCAGTACTGGGTATTTTCAGTGTTCTGCTTTTGGGCTGTGTTAATAGCTGTATAGTAGTGGCCTCCTCTTGCTTTGTTTTATGTTTCCCTGATGATGCAGGCAATCATCTTTTCAGAAGCTTTTCCATCTGTACATGAGGAGTCTTTTTGACTCTTTGCCCATTTTTAAATTGGATTGTTCATTTTCTTGTTGCATTTGAAGATTCTTTAAGGAAACTTTCTGATCATATTCTAAAGTCTGCTCCTTTTGAAAGTAATATAATTATGACTTTTTTATGACTTTTTTTGCTTAGTATTAGTGTAGGATATCATGCCACACTTATACTTTAATATATTTGTGTGTATATTTAAAGTGTATTTCTTGTAGACAATATATTTTGGATCATGTTTTTAATGCTTTCTGATAATCTATATCACTTAACTAGTATTTTAGACCAGTTACATCTTAAGTGATTGTTGATATAATGTGATTAATATGTACTATATTTGTTACTGTTTCCAATTAGTTACCCTTGTTCTTTATTTTTACCTTTCTACCTTTTTCTGCCTTCTATGGTTTTAACTGCATTTTGTATAATCCCATTTCTTTCTCAGGATATCAATTATACATTTTTAAATTTTTTGATGGTTGCCCTAGATTTTATAATGTATTTACAATTAATCTATGCCCATTTTTGAGTAACATCATACCACTTTTAGGCAGTACAATATTCCTAATTCCTGCCTCCATCCCTTGAATAATAATTGTCACATTAAATATTCATAGGCTATAATCATCAAATACATTATTGCTATTATTATTTTGTGCAGACTAGTAAATATATGTCAAGAACTTAAAATATGAAAGCTGCTTTACTTTTACTTATTCCTTATCTAGTATTCCTACTCATGTAGAGCACAGTTTCTGATCTATCTCATTTCCCTTCTCTCTGAAGAACGTCTTTGAACATTCCTGGCAAGGCAGTTATGTTATGTTATACAAATTGACAAATTTTCTCAATTTGTATTTATCTGAGAAAGTACTACTTCACTTTTGAAGAATAATTTCTGAGTACAGAATTTTAGGTTAGTGTTCTTTTTTTCTCTCTCTCAACATTTTATTTTGTTGTAGTCCTTTCTTAAGTGCATTTTTTTTTCATATCTGAAGAGAAGTTTGTGTGACTATATTTTTTCCCATATGGCTTTTTATTTTATTTTATTATTAGTATTATTAGTATTAGTATTAGTATTTTTAGGAAAAGGACTACTACTTTTTTAGGGTGTTCAGGGTCTCACTACTAGATCAGACTTGTAGTGATTCTCCTGTTTACAGCTTCCCAAATGCTGGGATTACAGGCGACCCCACCATTCCCAGTCTTAATCGCTGCCTCAGTGCACACTAGGGGTGGGGCTGGCACAGCAGGCCTGGGGAGATTGAACCCCTGGCCCCTGAACCTGCTTGCAGGCGCTTTAATCCACTGAGCTATTTGGCCGGCCTCCATATGGCTTTTAAAAGTTTTTTCTTTGTTGGTTTTTTTTTTTTCCTGCAGTTTAAGCATGATATATAGATAGATTAGATAGATAGATAGATAGATAGATAGATAGATAGATAGATATTTATAGGCAGTACAGTAGTCCTAATTCCTCTCTCCCTGCCTTTAATAATAATTGTCAATCATGTCAAATATTCAGAAGCTAAAACCATCAAATACATTGTTGCTATTATTATTTTGTGCAGACTGGTAAATATATATAATCATTTGGATTATAAAATGATTACCTCTGTAAGATTTTGAATTAATTTAGTAGTGTATATTCATTTTTACTATCATCTAGCCTGACCCCCAGAGAAACTTTGAGTCAATAAAGCAAATTTTTTTAAATGTATTTGGTACAGGGTCTCACTACGTAGCTTAGACTTATAGTGATCCTCCTATTTTCAGCCTCCTCACCGCTGAGATTACTGGCATGTGCCACAATGCCTAATCTCGGGGGCTGGCTCAGTGTGCCCAGGGCTGGGCTGGCATGGCATGCAGTGCCGGGGACTGAACAAAGCAACTTCATTATAACTTACTAATCCAGAAACAAAATAAAAGCTACACATACAAATTTACATGGAATTTCTTCTTTTGTGTCTGCTTTGTCAGAGTCTGTCTTATTTATCAATATAAATGCTTAAATCAAAATGAGTTGGCATTGTAGATACTTATTTAGACAATGTGATCTAACTAAGAATTCCAATGTTTACATTTCATGCAGAAGGACATGTCATCCTTTGCACTATTAGCTCCTTTCTGGATCCGCCTCATGATGAAAAGGTATGAACTTTAGTTTTCCACTCTAAAATTTAGAGTCAGCACTTAGTTGAGCATTTCTCTGGGCAAAAGACTACGCAAGGTAGAAATACAAGACTCCTTATTTTCAAGGCACAAGACAGCACAAGTAAGAGAAAGGAAAGGGGAGAGCAAGGAAGTCAACTACTGATCATTTAACATTTTATTTCTTATATGTAGATCACTGATTTATTTGTACCTATATAGAAACCGAGAGCTTATGAAAACTCTTACATCATCCAGTCTTCCATAGTTTATCTTAAACATCTTTATAAGGCATTCCATAACCCTTCCTTGCAAACCCAGTACAGAACTATTATTTTCAGTAAACTCTTCCTGATATCTAATCTAAATCTTCTTTATAATTCCAGTACATTATGAATGTTCTTTTAGTACTAAAAACAACATAGATGTCATTCTTGTTTTATAAACATTTAAATAGGAATTTCTTACATGCAAGTAATCTATCTACATATCTTACAAAGCCCCAATAATTAAAAGTTGTACCACAAAAGACCTATTGTACTGTCTCATTGTTATTTGTTTATCAATAAAATTATGGCAAAAAAGACCTATTGTAGCAAATCCTTATTTCTCTTCAATACATCTAATATAAAAGCTAAATACTACCAAAAATGGCAAAATTTTATTTTTGGATCATAGATGTTAATCTAGGGATATATAGAATAGGATCTGATTTATTGCAGGGTGTCTTATTTTTTTTTCCTTTTCAAAGTTTTATTGATAAACATATAGCAATGAGACAGTTTCAAATCAAATCGAAAGTACAGTTTCAACAAATAATACACTGCATATATTCTT